AGTAATTTGGACAGAGGCGGGGGAGCGAAATCTTTAGCGAGCCCTACGTCTGGCTCTTCTCACGCAAACTCATTCCGACCCGGGCAAAACCGCCCATAATCCCTGTGTCTTTTCAACGCCCCTCTAACCATACCTGTCCTTTCTTTGCTGGGGGGAGCGGATTAACCAGATGGTGCTGCGCTTAGTTTGTTTGCCTGCTGTATGTGTTTTGCTTGATTCCCCGGGGAAACACACCTGGTTATCCGCTCCCAAACCGTACAGCTGAGCTCCCTTCCGTGAACCGGACGGGGGACTGTTCCTTCCTCGAACCGCGGGAGCGCGCCCGCGCGCGGGGGGTAGAGCGGTAGAGCTGGACCGCTCTGCTCCTCTTGCCTGGTAGAGAGAGAGAGAGAGAGAAAAAAAAAAAGAACACTGAGAGAGTCAGAGAGAAAGAGAGCAAGGCGAACGAGGGAGACACAGATTTATTTAAACACAAGTATCGAGACACAGATACTGAAACAGAAAGAAATAGAGCCATTGAAATCACAAGAAATATAAAGAAGATCCAGAAAAAGAGAGAAGCAGAGAGAGAGAGAGAGCGCCAGCTTAAAAAAAGTTTTGGTTTTTCATGAATTTTGCCGACCATGATATGAAAATAACTGATGATCATATCAACGGTAATGGTAGTGGTAACGAGCAAGGTCCGGGGAAGGTTCGGACCTTGCAGAACAACATCGACAACTCGGGTTCAAGCGGGTTTCAACCCGGTTCCAACCCATATTCAACCCAGCTTCGCCCTAAAGGCCCCCCCCCGCCTTTCCGCATCCGATTTTCCATACCCAAAAGGCGAAAAAAGCCAAACGAAAACGCTCTTGGGGGCTTTAATACGAAGAAAATAAATAAATCTAAACCTGACATCTTTCAAAAAATTCAAAGGAAAAAGCTATTCGAAAACGCATTTGGGGGATTAAAACCAGGAAAATATGACTGATAAGCGAAAATAGAAATGCGAAAAGGGGAAAGCCGCACCAACAAGCTACTTAGAAGCAAGTTCAAACCCCTCAACATTTGCCTTCCGTGTCTTCCTCCATGATCTCCTTTCCACGAGTCCCTCCATTTTCTTTCGTTTCTCTTTCTATCATCTCCATCTTCTCTCCGTCCCTCTCGGCAAAGAATGTTCCTCAATCACGCCTTGTTGCAATGCGCAAACCAGTATTTCTAGAGGAAAGACGTCTTGATCCACTGCACTAGGGCCCTTCGGTGTGGCATATCAATTTTTTTTTCCTCCCTTTCTCCCCCTTCTGCGGCTGGCAGTGCGTAAGCAGGAGATTGGAAAGATCCATGTTCGTCGTGTTTAGGAAAAAGGGGTCATGCATTGCTATTGTGGTGTCTGGAACGAAAAATAGGAGTTCTTGACTAGGTTCTGGAGATATATTAGCTGACTGCAGGATTTCCGTGCATGCCTTCCACTAGTGCAGAGGACCCGTCGGCCATTGCGGCCGGGGCTCCCGAGGCGCTGCTCGACCTTTAGGGTTCATAGGGTTCTTAGGGGGTTTGTAGGGTTGTTAAGGTTTAGAGGGTTTATAGGGTTTAGGCTTGGCATGCACTTTGCCATAGGCTTGAGAACTTCAAGGTTTAGCATCACAAGCATGGGTCAAGCTTCAACTTGGCCGCAGGCGCTTGTGCTTTGGCAGTGCGTTTTCAATTTGGAAAAAGGTCTTCGCATCTCGCGTTTGCAGTCAGTGTTGTTTGGTATTAGTGCTCGTGCAGCTGTGATATCAACAAATTAGCTTTAGGCACATGGAAGTCAACCCGGCTGAGGATTCGTCCAACAAAAAGTAGATTCTGCACCCGTCCAGGCCTGATCTTGAACCCTGAAGCTCTAAGCCTTCAAGCCACAAACAGCAACTCCTGGAACGCTTCCACGTCTCAGTGCAGGAGAGCGCGCCCTTCGTGCAGGGCAAGGTGGCGATCTTCGCGGGGCTCATCACCGCCCTAGCACCGTTCTTAGTTTTTCTCGCCGGACCATCAGAAAGCGCCCAATACAGACGCACGATAACACAACTCGAATCCTTGAACTGTGCAGGCGTGTGGGTGTGTGTGTGTGTGCGTGTGTGTGGGGGGGGGGGTCAAACATGACACGAACTCGCTGCATTCGCAAGCGCCCGCAAGTGTTCGCGAGTGTCGTGCCGGTCATGGAATGCAGCAAGCTACGGAGCAGGCTACGGGGAATTGCCACGCGAGGCGTGTCCAGGCCTGTCGTGGCAAGGCAGCGGAGTCGTACGCACCTTCGAGCTCACGGCTACGGTATAGCAAATGCCTGCTGGCTATATCATGGCCCTTTTGATGGGACTTAGTATCTCATACGCCTTTTGCGACCTTCAAGACTTTATGATTCCCCATAGCGGGCATGTTGACATCAGGACGAGACCTGAACTCTGAACCCTTGAACCCGAAACCCTGGAACCCTTAAGCCCATAAGTCGGGACCGCTCGTCAGCTAAGCGGGTGGGAATAGCACAGTCGCACCAAGAACCTCCCCTGGCATGTCCGAGAGTGAGAGCGCCGAAGAGTCCCACAATAAGACCCTGAACCCCTACGTTATCCTCGATTATTCTCTGATAATCCTTAGATGTTTCGCGAGCGAGTTGGCTCCTCTTTACCTCGCAGCTTTGGCAGGGCGAGAGGGAAACAAATCCCCAGATAAGTATACTGCAATCTGCCCCGAAAGGCTATTCGAAGTATTGGCCCCTATGATGTAATAAAGCTCTGAACATTCAGGAGCCAAAAGAAGCAGGCCGCATGCATAAACCCTTTGACCCGAAACCCAAACCAGTCAGGCCTAAACCCTAAAGCCGAGAACCCTAAACCCTGTACCCTCTCAGGCGTTCTTGGTTAGCTTGCTATTGCCGAAGATTTCCACTCGGGTTCCCTCAGCCCTGGTGGCGATCCTCCTCGGCCGGGCCCTGATCTGGGATGTACGGTTTTACGGTTGAGTTTGGAGCTCGGGGTTTAGTGTTTAGGGTTCAGGGTGGATGTTTGAGGATTTAGTCTTCGGGGCGTTGGGGTTGGGGTTTAGGAGTTGTTTGGGTTTGTGGGAGGGGGAAACTCAGGTTGTGGGGTTTATTGTGTTTAGGGTTTCTTTTGATTCGGGGTTGGGGCTTTTGGGGTGTAGGATTTCTGCCCTTGCAGGTTATGGTTTTAGGGTGTGTATTGGTGTAGTTGGTTGTTCCGTTCTCAGGGTGTTGTTCAAACAAGCTTTAGTTCAGGGTTTGGTTTATTCTCAGGGCTTTGGGAGAGTATCTATTGTTTAGGCGTTATCTGTTAGATCGTAGGGGCTAGGGACGCATATGCGATTGTAGGGTTCGGCCGTGAAAGATCCAACCCTAAAGCGGTAAACCCCTAAACAGCCCAACACGCTTAGTGGAGACCGAACCAAGTCTTGCCTGCTGTGTGCGAGAGTGAGTGAGTGAAATCCCTAAACAGCAGCAGCGCAGTGGATTCGGGGTTCGTCGGCTCCAGGCACAGCTTTCGAGTGGGCCATCGCCCGCTGCGCTTTTGACACGCAGACGCCGATCGTCGGAGACATTGCCAGCCAGTGTGACTTCCCGATCCCGTTCTGGTTCAACAGGCCTGGGTTTAGGGTTTAGGGAGTGATGTGCAGCTGAAAATCTAGCACAAGTCCTTGGACAAACACTGCTTTTGACTTCTGACCCTGCCAGTATCTACCATCCGCCGGCCTTCAGCAAGGACTTGGAGACTGGCGCAAGATAACTTACGATAGTATCCTGAAAATGACCCTCCATCCATATATATGTATATGTATGTATGTATGTATGTATGTATGTATGTATGTATGTATATACACATATGCTAGCCCCCCCCCCCTCCCAGAACCAACCTTTCACATGGAATACTTCTACTTGTATGTGTGTGTGTATATATATATATACATATGTATATATATATATATTTATTTATTTATGACACTCTTAGTCAAACCGCAAGACGAGATTCGTGCCGGAGGCACATCAAGTTGTAGTGTCCGTCACTACGCAGCGAAAGAGAGCTCTAACTACGGACTTTGTGAGGGAAGAAGCTAGACTGCTTTCCAGGAGCTGCTGCTGAAGGTTTTGCCCCTCTCCGTGACAATGGCGGCCGGGAGAATCATGTATTCTTGGTATGTTGAAGGTCTCGTCATGTCGTTTTTGTAGACTGGCACAAGAGGGACATCTAGAGCTTCGAGAGCAGAACACAGAGCTTCTGCATGCGCTGCGGAATGTGAGGCCGTCGGGTTGCTGGAGTCCTTGATGTCTGACTCCTCAGCTCCTTTGTCGCGCTCCGCTCCTGCTTCAATCCTGTAGCGAAGGACGCTCAACCTCATCGATGAGATCACCAAGACCAAGGGCAACCCCACCAGGAGCCCATGCTTTAAACTATCACACCTCACCGGTTTCAGTACCCTGGGCCCTGCCTCGCCAGGGAGTGCCTCGGACAAGGAGCGGCTTGAAGCAGTGGCCGGTGCTTTTTTTGGAGAGCAGCTTCCATCCGCTGGTCAGGACTCGCCAATGTGGTGCATTGCCGAGCAGAAGCAACGCAGTGATGAATAATAGAGGTCGCTGCACCCTTAACCCTAGGACCTAGCCCCACATGTTGAGGTCTGTGGCTGCTTTGGTGGCATGGGCGGCTGCGCCATGATCGGCCAGTCCATGATCAACATCGGCTCAGGCAGGGCAGCAGATGTCGGAGTTGATTACAAATCAGGTGTTTCTTGCATGAGGGTGGTCTTTATAGTTACAAGGATCCGAAACTTAAGGGTTCTACATGTGGGCGGGACGGCCAAAGTACGAACACGCCCGGTCGCAGCTTCCAGGTGCGCGGTCACGCCTGAGCTCGTTCACAGCAGGACCTATGGCTGTACAAGACCTAGAGCAACTTGCCGGCGGCGATAGGAGCGCAAAGTTTCGTCCGGCTCCGTTTCAACAGATGAGCGCTTCGGTATGTGGCTCCTCATAGGCTCGCCTCTTCTCCGCAAGGACTCTTTCTGCTGTTGATCGTCCTGGTAGCATACCCTGCCATTAAGCAGATTCCCGTCTCCGCTTTGGTGGGGGCAACTCGGATGCGAACAAATCCTTCGTCTGTTTTAGCGGCGGGAACATCCCATTGCAGCATGGAGTCGAACGTACCGTCCTCTTCCGAGGTGATGTTCTGCGTAGTTTTCCATACCTTCGAGTGGAGCTCCCTCAAGCTTATCTTCCTGGCTGCTCTGCCAATGAAAATGCGCCAGAGGCGTGGTGACGAGCGATGGAGGCAGTAGGTTGCCCACTGCACAACCACCACGCCTGAGCACGCAGGTTTCTCAGTGCGAAAGCCAGCACTCAACAGATCAGGCCTTCTTCCGCATCGTCGGTAATGTTCCTTCAGTAGGATAAAGCCCCTTTAACCACAGGCGCATGGATGCGCTGGTGATCGTGATCGCGGGCTGCCGAGCTGGGGGAAAGCTGAAATTTCCAGAGACCCAATACCCTGTAGCTACTCAACATGCGTACATGTAGCCATACTTCGTGTCAAGAGTCCCTATTTCCTGGGCTCTATACAGTTTAAGGTGCACAGCTCCTGGTTTTGACTGTCTCAGCTCCCTATGGTCGCCTTTCTGTAGGTCACGGTCGTGACGCTCCTCACGGATCTGGCCACAGCTGTGGCTGAGCCCTTAGAGCCCTTAGAGGCCATGGGCCAGGTTCTGTGCTACAAGAGAAGAGCAGAAAGGGTAGACTTTTTTGGTTTTTGTTTTTGGGTGATCCTTCCTAGGCCGTGGGCATGATCATCTCGCTCTTCACTTTTGCCTTGGAGACGTCGAACGCCATCCAAGTCGTCGCTCGCGAGAATGATCCGCGAGATGGCATCAAGGCAGCTCGCTTGCACCGAAGGCTTCCATCAGGACTTGCCACAAGGGCCACAACCACGAAAGCAGTTCTAGTCAGCAGTCAAAGGAACCCTCCGTTTACAGTGCTCGTAGCTGCTATAGTAGCCGGTTCCAGATAGCTGACTAAACGAACGTGCAGGGCGACTAAGAACTAGGCTGGGCCTCGGCGTGTCCGAAGATTGATTTGCGAGCGTTGAAAAATTCCACTTGCGCGAAAGCCAGGCCAGGACTCCAGGACCGTTTTCTCCGACCAACCCCAACTATTGTTGGACAGTTTGTCGCGCGTGTAGCCTGGCTTTCCCAGACTGCGAGTGGGAGAAAGGGCCCTCCAAACGCGTGCTCCTCTTCCCGGATGGAGCCTCCAAGCCTCCTAGGAGGCCTTCACCACCACTCTGCAGGAGCGGCCGGACCGCGCTGCACTCTCAACCCGCAGTCTTTGAGAAGAACTCGTTCTTCTTTTTCTGGGAGATGGACTCGGGCCACTCCCACCATCGTGTGCGTGGTCGCACAGAGGCGGCAGTGCTTCTTCCGGGTCGATGCCCGAAGGCATCACTTAGTCTTCTCCCGCAGGGGTTGCACAGGGGTGGCTTCCCAGTACCGTTGGACAGGAGGGCTCGACCGCGGAGCCTGCGAAGTCTGCAGGCGGCTCGACCGCTTGAGGAGATTTGAGGAGTCATGGGCACGGGCAGCTTTGCAGCCTGCGTGTCTGGCAACTTGAGCCGGCTGTCCCGGTTGCGTCTCCAACAGCTGGCGTAGCCTGCTCTTCCTGCAAATGGCCGGCTAGGTAAACGTCAGCAGGCTGGGGGCCGTAGCGCTGCGAAATCAAGCCTATTTGAGACATGTGAGACAAAAAGAGAAATACTGAGAGATGGCCCGGCAAGATGTCTGGAGATTTAAAGACATTGGTCATATCCCGGTGTCCAGGGCTATAGTTTCAAAATGGCGCCAGCACCTCCCACCAACAACG